CATTTGTTTTCTTTCTTTCTTTCTTTTTTTTTTTTGAGACAAATATCTCACTCTCTTGCCCTGGGTTGAGTGCTCTGGTGTCATAGCTCACAGCAACCTCAAACTCCTGGGCTCAAGTGATCCTCTGATTCTCTTGCCTCATTCTCCCAAGTAGCTGGGACTACAGGCATGTGCCACTATGCCTGCTAATTTTTTCTATTTTGGGGAGAGACTGGGTCTCACTCTTGCTCAGGCTGGTCTAGAACTCCTGTGCTCAAGCAGTCCACCTGCCTCAGTCCCCAGAGTGCTAGGATTACAGGCTTGACCCACTGCCTTTGCCTGGCCAGCATTCTTCTATGCTATCTTCTTTGGCACCTTGCAATGCATGCTGTAGGTATTTCCTATTTTTCTTCATTCCTTAATTTCCTCTATATCCATTAAACTGTTATTTATTTGGCTCGAGTCTCTTTGTTCATTATGCAAACATGTCTTTGCTTTGAACATAACTGATTTGATGGATACATTAGTTGGTCAAACATTGTTTTGCTGTGCAGAATGTTTTCTTTGGCTAACTCCAGCAATTTCCCACATTTACTAGGTTGCTACTCTGGCATTTTGATGTGCAATCATGTTAACTCCCAGTTTCTTTTGTAATTCAACACTACCTATTTCTTTTTTTTTTTTTCTTTCTTTCTTTTTTTTGTTTTTGAGACAGAGTCTTTTTTTGTCACCCCTGGTAGAGTGCTCTGGCATCATAGCTCACAGCAACCTCATGCTTGGGCTCAAGCAATTCTCTTGCCTCAGCCTTCCAGTAGCTGGAACTGCAGGTGCTTGTCACAATGCCCAGCTAATTTTTTTTGGAGGCTAGGGTCTTGCTCTTGCTCAGACTGGTCTCAAACCTGTGAGCTCAGGCAATCCACCTACCTCAGCTTCCCAGAGTGCTAGGATTACAGGCATGAGCCACTGCCCCCGACCTTAATACCACCTATTTTGATAGATTAATAATTAATGACTTTTACAATATCCTGATTATATATTTATACAAAAATAAAATTACCTCTAAAACATTTACTACCTTTCCTAAATTCAGTCTTGCCACAGCTTAATGACTTAAAGGAAAGAACATTGTAAAGGGTAAGGAAAGAGTCACTACAATGACTAAATGCTGCTCTGTTAATTAAACAGAAGAAAAGAAAGTCAAGTGAAAACCTAACAATTATGTAGTCTCATGAAAGTTTGGTGTTCAGAGGCTGATCACCAAGTGCTTTTCTTTCCTAGATGGATGACAAAAAGTGGGCTTTAGATGCCACATAAAGATGTTGCGTTAGACTGTTTCTCTACAGATGAGTTACCTGGGAAATTGTGAGATACAATTAAATATTTGATACTAAAAACACCCAAGAGTTTGAGGTTGCTGTGAGCTGTAATGCCACGGCACTTTACTGAGGGCGACGTAGTCCAAAACATCATTGGAACAGCCATCAAATTGAATTTGTGGTATCTGTCCTATTAGACATGCAATTCTCTCAAGAAAAATTCATAGAAACCATTTAAGGAAATGATTCTTTAAAGATATAATGGACACTAATTCATCTGGATTTGTTTAGGTGTGGTCCTGGTTAAAGACAAAGGGAAGGATCAGATCACTTCATGCTTTTTCCATTTGACATACCCAGTAGATTCTTGATTAGGAAAAGGGAAAAATGAGCAAGATACAGCCCAGTATATCCTAACAACAGTCAGCCTTAGGGGCCCATATTAAAAGTATCTGTTTTGGACTTATGTCTTTGGTACTTAACCAAATTGGTGTTTAACCACGTTGACTACATATTGAAACATTCTAAAGCCTGAGTTTTATAGGGTAGGAGGAGGAAATGGAGTTGAGTGACTAACACTTAATGTTAAGATCAGCAATAAGATCCTTCTTGCTGTCTTTTTTGACTATTCTGCACAATGTCAAATTAGTTCCAGTGGCTTGATTCTAGGCCAAGATTTTGGCAATAGATTGTAGTCTCAGTTTGTTCAATCTCATCTAGTCTCTCTCTCTCTTTTCTTCCTTTAGGCTGAGGGTAAAAAGCTGGGATTGGTAGGCTGGGTCCAGAACACTGACCGGGGCACAGTGCAAGGGCAATTGCAAGGTCCAACCTCCAAGGTGCGTCATATGCAGGAATGGCTTAAGACAAAAGGAAGTCCCAAATCACACATTGACAGAGCAAACTTCATCAACGAGAAAACCATTCCAAAGTTGGATTACTCGGACTTCCAAATTGTGAAATAATGGTCTGAATTTAAATTTTTAAAGACAAACTTAGTGGTTTTTGTTTTTATTGTTAACAGAAGTATTGTGTGTTCAATATTAGCATTTGTCAGTAAGTTATTTTAGTATCAAATATTTGATTGTTAACTGTATTATTGTATGATGGGAGGATCATAACTGTACACAATTCTAATCAATAAAATATATTAGAACTCTGCTTAGAGTTACTTTTTAAAATCTTCAGTGAACTTCCTTTTGGGCAACATAAGAGGCATTCATTCAGTAAACATCTGTGGGGAGAGGATTTTGAGGTCATTTTAGAGGTCTGAAAGAAAAAAAGTTACTTAGAATCATTTCTTTAAATGGTTTCTATGAATTTTTCTTAAAGAAATTGCGTGCCTTATAGGATAGATACCACACATTCAATTCGATGGCTGTTCCAATGATGTTTTGGACTAATTACTTTTGTTTTCTAGAACTTTTTTTTTATATAAGAGTGTCACTATGTCACCCTCAGTAGAGTGCAATGACATCACAGCTCACAGCAATCTCAAACTCTTGTGCTGAAGCGATTCTCTTGCCTCAGCCTCCCAAGTAGCTGGGACTACGGGTGCCTGCCACAATGCCCAGCTAAGTTTTCTGGAACTTTTGCTGTCATTCCTTTCCTCTGGGTAAGGAATTAACATAAATGTTGTGAGCTGAATTGTGTCCTCCCAAAATCTGTATGTACTAACCCCTGGTACCTCAGAAAGTGACAGTATTTGGATACAGGGCCTTTAGAGAGAAGAGTAAAGTTAAATGAGTCTGTAATGGTGGGCCCTAATCCCATCTGACTGGTGTCCTTATAAGAAGAGAAAATTTAACACAGATGTATATGCACAGATGAAAGACTCTGTGAATAGGGCTATGTACAAGCCAAGGAGAGAGGCCTGAGAAAAAATCATCCCTGCCAACACCTTGACCTCAGACTTCTGGCCTCTAGGACTGAGAAGAAATAAATTTTATGATGGCAGCCCTAGCAAACTAATACAGTATATGTTACATAAGCAATAATCAGGATTATGCTTCATTAGTCCTGGAAGATAGATTGGGTTTGGTTAGTCACTAAGCAAGTCTATGTCAAATGCTTAATGGGTTTGACAAATTTGTCATGAATTTCAGTTTTTAAAAAACAGAAGTTGTCAATGAAAAAGACAAAAAGCAAAAGCTGCGGATTGGTTAACAGTTCCTAAAACACTTATTCTCACGGAGTTCTCACATTTCAGCTCTCCTTTAGTTAAAAAAGAAGCTGTGATAGCATTGAGAAGATATCAAAAAAGTTCACGGAGAGAATCTTGGTGGCCTCCTCTGCAAATTAGGGAATTGGAACTAGATAGTTTTTCAGCCTCTTCCAGCTCCGAAATGCTGTAATTCTAAGCTGAAATGCTCTGGATTTATTGAGTTTCTGCCACAGGCCTACACTCTTCTTGGCCACAGGGATACAGCAGTAAGCAAAATAGACAAAATCCTTTCATACAGCGTACATTCTAGTAAGGGAAGGCAATAAACATCAAATATATATTGAATTAAATGTTAGTGTAAGCAAGGGAGAAAAAAATGAGAAAAGCAGGAAGAGTAAACACAGGAAAAGGCATAAAAACAAGTTACTATCAGCGGTCTTTTACACCAGGCCAAAAATAAACAGGGCTTGAGAACTGGAGGTACCCACTCAAGATCCTGTGGGACACAAGTGTCCCGGCTGGGCAGAACCTGACGCGCATGCGCACTGGAGTGTTGACAACGACCGCGCGCTCTCGGCGAGTCCCCGCAGAAGCGCATGCTCGTGGGCTCGCGCGTGCACGAAGCTCTCAAGCCAGCGCGCGCGCGCAGCGTCGGAGGCGGTTGGTATCCGAGAGTTGACGAAGCTCGATTCGAGGTGACTTGGGGGGAAGCACGCGACGAAAGGATGATTCCGAGAGCTCTTCTGACATCAGAAGGGCCCTAGTGACCGCTGCGGGCGGCTTTTCGAAGCCGTTCGCGCCAGGGCCCCAGGAGCCCCCAGCGGCCTTGCCGGGCGGGCCAGTGCGTCGGAGTGCGAGGCTGGGGAGGGACGGGGTGGAGCGCGAGCCTGGCGGGCCGGTGCCCTGCCCCGGGGAGCGCGGCCAGCTCCGCAGCCCTGCTTTTAACGCAGCCCCGGACCGGGCGATTGGTCCCGGTGGCCCAGGCACCGTGGTCTTTAAAGGCCTGGGGCGTAATCAGAAAATCCTTGTGTAGGGTTTACATTAATTGGATTGTTTATTAATCGTTTACCCCTCCTTGCTGCTGGCTGCGAAGTTCATTATCTTAGAAATCAACACAAGATCTGCAGTGTTGACTGCAGTGTTGATTAGCCCTGATTTTCACGGGTTTGGAAAAAACTAGCCCTACCACCAGCGAGAGGTCCAGCCCATTCGGAAGGAAGCCTTCCTTTGATGGCACTAGAGTAATATTATTATTATTATCATTATTATTATTTGCTTGCAAGAGAACTTAAAACGAATTTCAGACAGCTCCATATCATCTTAATTATTGTCAAGGCAGTTTGTGCCCATCTGTCAAGACCAAGAGAGTGTTAATAAAAACTTGTTGTCAAAGTAATACATGAACAAGATTTAAAAATCAAATGGTGAAGAAAGATTTATATGAAAAGGAATTTTCCTACCTTATCCTTTCCCATTTCCAGCCTTTGTCCTCTGAGGCAACTACATTTAACCAAGAGTAATAATAATAATAATCTCCTAATGCCCATCTCTCCTTGATACAACAATTTGATTTTTTTAAATTTCCTCCTGTTGCTTCACCTTCTTTATTACAGTGTCTTAACACTTCATTATAAGTATTTTTCTAAAAGTCATGGTTATTGTGTAACATATAAATGTTATGAAACTAGCTTGGACATTTTTGTCATGAATAATTTTTAGCTAATGTTTCTTAGCTGAATTTAATTCAGGCATCTGTTTTTGGTGATGTGGTTAGCATTTCAAGTGCTCTCTTTTATGGGTCAATTTCAAGTGTAATTATGATTTCACTTTAGGGCATGTGGGATTTAAAAAGGAGCATTGAAAATTATGAAATTATGAATGTGTCCTTTGGATGTTAAATCCATTGCACCAAGCATGAGCTGTGTGATCTGCCTAGAGATCAGAGGTATAATTTTATTTTGTTTCACAATTTGATTTAATAAAAGAGATTTCATTTACCTCAAAAGATACTTCTTCATAATGCTTGAGAGAAACGGATAATGCTGTGTAACTCTGAAGCTTTGATTGCATATGTGTGTGTTTTTTTTTCTTACTCTCATAGGCAATTGTTTCCAGTCAGAGAAGGAAACCAGAGCCTGGCATTCTCATCAGCTTTTCACCTGCCATGATTAAGTGCTTGTCAGTTGAAGTACAAGCCAAACTGCGCTCTGGTTTGGCCATAAACTCCTTAGGCCAGTGTGTTGAGGAACTTGCCCTCAACAGTATTGATGCGGAAGCAAAATGTGTGGCTGTCAGGGTGAATATGGAAACCTTCCAAGTTCAAGTGATAGACAATGGATTTGGGATGGGGAGTGATGATGTGGACAAGGTGGGAAATCGTTATTTCACTAGTAAATGCAACTCAGTACAAGACTTGGAGAATCCCAGGTTTTATGGTTTCCGAGGGGAGGCCTTGGCAAGTATAGCTGACATGGCCAGTGCTGTGGAAATTTCATCCAAGAAAAACAGGACAATGAAAACTTTTGTGAAACTGTTTCAGAATGGAAAAGCCCTGAAAGCTTGTGAAGCTGATTTGACCAGACCAAGTGCCGGGACAACAGTAACAGTATATAACCTATTTTATCAGTTACCTGTAAGGAGGAAATCCATGGATCCCAGACTGGAGTTCGAGAAGGTTAGGCAGAGGATAGAAGCACTCTCACTCATGCACCCTTCCATTTCTTTCTCTTTGAGAAATGATGTTTCTGGTTCCATGGTTCTTCAGCTCCCTAAAGCCAAAGACGTGCGTTCTCGATTTTGTCAGATTTATGGACTGGGGAAGTCCCAAAAGTTAAGAGCAATAAATTTTAAATATAAGGAGTTTGAGCTTAGTGGCTATATCAGCTCTGAAGCACATTACAATAAAAACATACAGTTTTTGTTTGTGAACAAAAGACTAGTTCTAAAGACAAAGTTACATAAACTCATTGACTTTCTATTAAGGAGAGAAAGTAGCATCTGCAAGCCCAAGAATGGCCCTGCCAGTAGGCAGATGAATTCGAGTCCTCGGCATCGTTCTGCTCCAGAACTCCATGGGATATATATAATCAATGTGCAGTGTCAATTCTGTGAGTACGATGTATGCATGGACCCCGCAAAAACTTTAATTGAGTTTCAGAACTGGGATACTCTTTTGATTTGCATTCAGGAAGGAGTGAAAATGTTTTTGAAGAGAGAAAAATTATTTGTGGAATTATCGGGTGAGGACATTAAGGAATTTAGTGAACATAATGAGTTTAGTTTATTTGGTGCTACTGTTCAGAAACATGTGTCCTCTGATGACAAGCATGAGCAGGGCATTTTCCAGGAAGCATGTAATAATATTTTGGATTCCTATGAGGTGTTCAATTTGCAATCAAAAGCTGTGAAAAGAAAAGCTACTATGGAAAACATAAACACACAGAATTCAAGGGATTCAGAAGCTCTCAGGAAAAATACAAGTGATTCATTTTTGAACATTTGTGAATCAGATGGCCTAGGCCATAGTAAAAGGACAGAGTCATCTGTACAAAACAAAGATAGCTTTTGCTCAGAATCAAGGATGTTAGAACAACAGACAATGGAAACAACAGAATCAGGAGAAAATAAGAAACATAAAAAATGTTGCTTGGAGCATCACTCTTTAGAAAAGCCATGTGGGACCAGTTCAGAAATGTTTTTAAGCCCTTTTCAGGCACTTCATCACTTTGAGGAGAGTGGGATGAATCGAGAGGTACAGAAAGTACCTACGGCTGCCCACATCTTTGAAAATAATAGGATTCAGAATCAAATAGAGCAATTTAAAGATGCCACTGAAATGGGATGTCATCCTTTGCCTTTTGAGACAACATTATTCAGAGTACATAGTGCTCAGAAAGAGAAAAGAAAAAAAGAACCTAGTAGTTGTGGAGGAATAAATGTTTTTAGTTATGGACAAGTTAAATTATGTTCCACTGGCTTTATAACTCACGTGGTACAAAATGAGCGAACTGAATCAACTGAAACAGAACATTCATTTAAAAATTATGTTCGACCTGGTCCCATAAGTGCCCAAGAAACATTTGGAAATAAAACACATCATTCAGTTGAAACCCCAGACTTCAAAGATTTAGTCAACACTTTAAATAAAGATTCTGCTGAACTGCCCAACAACAAATTTTGCAGAACAAATTTAAGTTACGGACTAAGGAACAAAACTATAACAACTTCTAAAAATTTTCCTGTTTTTCAGGAAGGTAGTAAAAATTCATATGCAGCTTGCTCATTACCTGATACATCCTCTGCTTTCCCTTGGTGTAGACATATTTCAAATGGTAGTAAGAAAACAGATAAAGTGATTGTTTCCTCCAAACCCATAGTGCATAAGAAGCTAAGCTTGAGTTCACGACTCGGATCTTTAGAAAAGTTTAAGAGGCAATATGGGAAGATTAAAAATCCCCAAGATACAGAGGGGAATAATATTGAAGTAGAGGAAAATAATATTGAAGTCACTACCAATCTCAGTCCTCAAATTGAACCTGACATTCCACTGAATGATAAGAGCCACTTGGACAACTCTGATATTTATAAAATCACTACTGTGAAGCATGATGATCCAAATAGTAGTTGTCAACCAGTAGGTCATGTGCTTTACTCAGAGGAGCTTCCATTTTCCAAGGATGAAGATTGTTTGGAACAACAGATGCCATATTTGAGAGAAAGTCCTGTAACTATACAGGAGTTATCTCACTTTAATAGAAAACCTTTGGATCTTGTGGAGTCACCTGAATCACTAGCCTCTAAATTATCTAGACTGAAGAGTTCTGAAAAAGAGACTCAAACAGTAGAGGTGATGAATTATTTTAATGACCTTCCAAATTCAGATTCCAATAGGAAAAGACTGTGCATTGCGTTAACCCAAGATTTTTGTAACTTACATGAAGATGAGCATAAAAAAACAGAGAGCAGTATCATCCCAATGTCAGATTCTGTCACACAGGATAATTCCTTTAATAAAGACAGTGAGACATATTCTAACAACAATACAACAGAGAACTCTGTGATTCCAGAAACTCCTTTGGTATTACCCTATACTAATTCTGAAGTTATTAGTGAAGATTCACATGTTCTTCTCAGAGCTTCAGAACAACAGACAGGAAGTCCTGACTCTCCCAGTAGAATGTTTATGGGTCAAATAGAAGATTCCACAGGCACCCAAAATGGAATTTGTCTTCCAACCAAGGAATCTAAAGCAACATCTTGTCTGGAAAATGAAGAGTCAAGTATGTGTTCTTTGGATTGGCAGCAGCATTTTGATGTAGCCCTAGGAAAAATGGTTTACGTCAACAAGAGGACTGGACTCAGCACGTTTGTGGCTCCTACTGAGGATGTTCTGACTCCTTGTACTAAAGACCTGACGACTGTGGCTGTGGATGTTGTGCTTGAGAATGGTAAGTGTATATGTTCACTGGCATTAAATGCTTTTGAAGATGGGGTATGGTCAAGGAGGAAGATGCTCATCATTCAAAGAGGTGATCTGAACAGACGGAACACCTTGAAAACCATTTATAAAACATATGTTTTATGGTATATGCGAATTCTCTAGCTCCAACACATTTCAATATAGAAATATGATGAAAAACTGATATATTCAAGTATGTATGTGTCTACGAGGGTACATTTATGCAAGAAGAGGGTGAGACAATCAAATTTTGATGGAAATAATACTACTACTAGCTGAGAAAAGCCATCTTTTTTATGCTCATCTTCTACCCTACTTTGCCCTTCCTCCCAAATACATAGCTCTCCTAGAAATGTGTCTTTTTTAAAAATTTTTTTTGAGACAGAGTCTCACTTTGTCGCCCTCAGTACAGTGCTGTGGCATCATAGTTCACAGCAACCTCAAACTCTTGGGCTCAAGCAATTCTCTTGCCTCAGCCTCCCAAGTAGCTGGGACCACAGTTGCCCGCCACAATGCTCAGCAATTTTTAGAGACGAGGTCTTGCTCTGGCTCAGGCTGCTCTTGAACCTGTGAGCTCAGGCAATCCACACATCACCCTCCCAAGTGCTAGGATTACAGGTGTGAGCTACCATGCCTGGCCCAATGTGTCTTTCTGTGGGGGACAGGGCCTTGCTCTGTCACCGAGGCAGGAGTGTAGAGGGGTGATGATAGTGCTCACTGTAGTCTCCAACTCCTGGGTTCAAGCAATCCTTCTGCCTTAGCCACCTAAGGAGCTGGGACTAAATGTGCCACCAGGCCCAGCTAATATTCCTTATTTTTTATAGAGAATGGTTCCCAGACTGATCTTGAACAACTCCTGGGCTTAAGTGATCCACCCACTTCAGCCTCCAAAAGTACTGGGATTACTGGCATGAACCACCCCCAACCCCCAGAAATTTGTCTTCAAAGGCACCTGCAGTGCCAGTGTGGTATTGGAAGTTTTTCTCTCTGTGGCTCCCAGGTTAAGGGCCAGCATGATTCTGAAATCAACCTAGGTTTTCTAGTAAACTCTGTGGCTCAGTTCTGCACTATATTTATGAACTTTTTTTTTTTTTAGAAAGTAAGACTTGACCATAAATTTTACAAAATATAAGTTACGTATACTCTTTCATAACTATACTTTTCAAATGTACTTTATTTTAAAGCATATGGCAATCCGCTTGATCTGTTTATGGTATAAGTAGCTGTTATTCAGGAAGACAATAATAATATGGCTTTTAGATCATACCACAGGCTACATTAGAGCCTGAACTAAGACTGAGTTCTCAGGTCTCAATCAACATTAAAAGTGACATTGTTTTGGCAGTGTGTTGAGAACCAGATGTGGGTAGATGGTAAAGCTGATTTCTGTTTGGCTATACATCCTGGCTTTGCACTATGAGGATAAACATTAAATCTGCGTCCACATTCAAAGTCTTGAATGCTGCAAGAAGATATTAAGTGTATGAATGTAACTATAAGTCAACTTGTAATTTCTCCTTGTGATGAGTTATCTCCAGCAGAAAGCTCTGTTTTCCTTCTTTCTTTCTTTCTTTTTTTTAAAATTTCAGGTTAACATGAGGGTACAAACAACCAGGTCTGATTTCTTTAAGGTTAGATAAGACCTTTACCTGTCAAAATTTGTCCATTTTTTTCCTTGTGAGAAAAATAATCTCTATAGTAACTTTCAATGTATTAAATAGGAAAAGAAAACTTTCAGTATTGTTCCTGAGACTATCAAGTTGCTCTTAAAGCAACCTTTTTTTGTTTGGTTTTCTTTTTTGGGTTTTATCTTAAAGCAACTTTACGTGCTTTTAATCTATGTAGTTTTATGTCCTGACTTATACTGATTGCTTATTAGAGTGTAAATCTAAGGCACTGGCACCTCATCTTCCTAAAATGTGACTGCTTTTGATCTGGTACCAAAAAATAACTGGATTACATTATACTGTGAGATGGTTGTTGCAAAAACAAAGGGGGAAATCTTAGCTGCCTTATTCACCATAAACTTCTGCCCTGTTAAATAAATCTCAATGTTTAAGACACTTTAACCTACTTAACTTTCAAGATTAGCCTATCTTATAGTGCACTTGAGGGTCACGTTAACTCATAGTTTCCTAATGAAAAATATATATATTTTTTAAGTTGGTCCAACTTTATTGGAACCTGTTACAGAAGACACAATTCAAATAAGAATTATTGTTTGTGGTTTTGAGGCCTGTAGAAATTGGAGGTATATTTTACTACAAAAGAATATAAAATAAATTCGTTCAAACTACAGTGTAAAAAGAAGTTTTAAAAATGAACAATATGTCATTAAATGTTTGCAAGTACTTTCTTTCTAATCACTTTAAAAAATTCCAATAACCAGTTTGAATTCAGTGAGAAAACCTACAAACACAAAACGTGTTCGCACTGAGGTACTTCAACTTTCGTAAACTACTGGAAGTTAGAAAAAACTTTGTTGCTAAATGAAAAAAAAATCACATTTTTTTCCACATCAGGGAAAATTATACTAGACTTAACACCTTTTTTTTG